AGTAAATGATGAAAAAGGGAACATGAATTACTGGTCTTAAGGTGATGTTTATGAAAAAAATGAAAGACTAAAACTGATTTTCTCCAAAAAGGGAGAGAAAACAACAAAATGATTGGTTGGTGTGCTCCTACCAGGTCTCAGGAGAGCTTCAAGGTTTTCTCAACAGTTGCAACACATCTCCTTGCCTGGTTTGAAAATTTTTTTGTCCATAAATTCTGTCTTTCCTTCCACCATCCACTACTATCTACATATTTAACAACTTAAGGAAACAAACTAAAACTTTTATGTAAAGGAGGTACATGACAATAAATACATATTTATATATATATATATCCAGGTGGAAATATATGATTAGCTGTCAAAATCAGCAGAAGAGACAAAAAGTGATGGAATTTAGGGAAGAAGGATAACTATAAGTAGTCAAGGAAAGATGCCTGTGCTCTGTTGCAAGCACCAGGTTATAAGCAACCAAACATCAGAACTGAAAGGTCTCAACAGGTGCCTTCTAGAAGACAATGAAGAAAATGGCTTGCTTAGAGTCAAGAATTTACATTCTGGAAAGAGTGATAACAACCTGGGATATGCAGATAATCACCTTGTTAATTTTATTTTGGAAAAGTTGAGACTAAACTTATGAGAAAATGGGATATGGTGAAATATGTGATTGTGGAATAATTTCTTTGTAAACTCCCTTGGTGTTCAGTCCAGGAAATGGAAAATATTCTAATTCTCCTAGGGTTCAGCAGTAGAGCAAAGTGATTAAGAGGGCAGGTTCTGGAGTCACAATGCCTGCCTGGCTTTTGGCCTATGTCTGCTACCAAGTACAGTGTCACTGGGGCCAGTTACTTAAACCTTCCTGAGCCTTAATTTCCTTACTAGAAAAGGCTGCTATGGAGAATGAACAAGTACCCACCAAAAGCACTTGTAATGACCACTAACAGTAAAAATACACTAAGTACTAGATACTCTGCTTAGAATTATGAGAGGTTGACTTAGAATGGGCAACTACTCACTTTATTTTATTTTTTAAAATTTATTTATTTATTTATTTATACATACATACATGCATGCATACATACAAGCACTGGGTACAGTCAGAAGCGCGGGAGGGTGAGAGAATTCAGCAGAGCCAGAGCAGGGAGCAGAGCAGGCAGAAGGACCGAAGTACATTGCCGAGGGGAGCAGCGGGCGGCAGGAGAGAGAGGTCTGCGCACCATGTGGGACCCTCCTCCGGTGGCCGGGGAGCAGCCGGGGATAGAACCGGCGCTGCAGAGGCTGCAGGCAGCTTCACAATCCAGCGCTCAACCGCTGCACCATGGGGGAGGCCCCCAACTACTCACTTTAAGTTATCAAAGGATATGGAAAGAATTTCTTGCCATAGATTAACATCCGAGATTCAGGGAAATTAAAAATTTGAAATGTTCCTTGCAGTAGTCACTAGATTTTGGTGTGTTTTTAAAAATACCTTGCCAAGAGTGTTTCTCAATATTCTGGTTGAGGCTGTATCTTACCAACAAATATTTTTGCTGAAATGCAAAAATACTGGCCAGGGAATCCAGAGAACGTGGTTACATTAAGTTAAGCGACCTCAGAATTTCAAGTAACAAAATGTAAAATAAGGAATTTGTGGCCATAGCCAACCACTTTAGCAGGCAAGTTTGTCAAATCTGCAATTCTAGTGATGCTATATAGAGACAGTGCACACAGTACCACAGGTTACCCAAAGGAGTAAATGATGAAAAAGGGAACATGAATTACTGGTCTTAAGTTTAACGTCTTCAGGGAGAGAGGAGCTTTCTAGGAACTGTGGGCATATACATCAGTACATGCTCAACTGATAAAGTCTGAGGGGACTTACAGTCAGCCCTGTGTGTGACTGGAGTCTTTCCACTAGCACAGTGAAGGTCTCAGCACTTAACTGCTTTGGTTCTTTGTCACTCCCTATGATAGTTATCCTGTGGCTACTGTGCCTTTAGTATGACGCAGGTGACTCTGAGTGCAGACATATGATTGCGTCTACACTGTGACCATTCCCTCCCCTAGATTACAGCAGCAGTTGGTTCTTATCTTAAAGTTCAACCCAGAGAATGGGCGCACTAATTGTTTTCATCACTGTCAGAGTGCCTGTATCTATGGTACTGCCTTAGACCTATTACTGCCACTCTTTCCTTTTTCCTTTTCTGTCTCATACCTCTTCATGCTTTCACCTAGTTACCATCTTTGTGTTATAAGGTTTTAGCCTTCTATGAACATCAAACAGTCCCTATCATTCAATCAGACCCCAGCTCTATCTCATGGGACAGATATCCTTATTAGGTCCTGACTGCTTGTCAGGCACTTGGGATGGCTTACCTGTGACCAAGAGCATGGGAAGAGAAATCAGAGAATCTCAGTCAACATTCTGCCACTTAATTAGCTGTGTGACTTTGGATAATTACACACCTTAGAGTCTTCTTATACACTATTTCTTAGAACTACAATGAGGAGGAAATGTGAGCACAAAGGGCTGAAACTAAAGGGTACAAATAATTTCAACTCCTAGGAATGAAGAAGCTGTTCCAGAAGACTGAGTGCACGAAAAGTTCAACCCAGAGAAGCTCTCCAGAACAAGAATATCTCTTGCATGTGCCATATTTATGTATTCTTCCTCAACTTAAGAAATTCATAATTATTGGATGTAATGTCACCTAAATCAGATGTATTAAAAATAGTATTTATCATTCTTTTCATTCTCACAAAACAAAAATACAGACTATTTTTAAATCACCTATAATCCTACCACCAAAGAAAAAACATTCATAACATAGGGTCTCTTTCTAGGCTTTTTTCTGATTAATATTTTAAAAACACAGGTAAGATATTACATATTTACATTTACATATATATTAGCAACTGATGTTTTCCAAGTAGTAATATGCAAACATTTCCCCATTATTCCAATTTTTTTTTTAGATCTATTTCAAGGTAATTCACATACAGACATCACAGGCCAATAAAATGTTTCACATATCAAATTCTTGGTTTATTTTAGAATTCCAGAAGTAAATGCTCATAGTGAAGGGAGTTTTACTTATTGACAAAATTAATTAATGAGTAAATGTAAAATACTAGAAAAAGCTGAGTGTATATAACTAAATTTAATACATACTTTATGTAAAAGGATTACACCAAAGCCAAATTTTTCTCTCAATTGACACATTTTTTTTTATAATACACATAGGGAGCCAACAAATATATGGAAACCAAAAATAAGACAGTCTCTGAATAATTGATTGATCAGAGTCATCGCCTTTATTCAAACCTAAAATAGGCAATGAAATGCTGTAATCTATGAGAAAACAACAAAAATTCAGGTTCTAAAGTGGTAACCTACTTTATGTTTATGGGTCACTATATACCAAACAGATCTTCATTGCAAAGTATAAAATGGGCCTCCCCGGTGGCGCAGCGGTTGAGCGCTGGGTTGCGAAGCGGCCCGCAGCCTCTGCAGCACAGGTTTGATCCCCGGCTGCTCCCCGGCCCCTGGAGGAGGGTCCCACATGGCGCGCAGACCTCTCCTGCCGCCCGCTGCTCCCTTCAGCAGTGTACTTCGGTCCTTCTGCCTGCTCTGCTCCCTGCTCTGGCTCTGCTGAATTCTCTCACCCTCCCACGCTTCTGACTGTACCCAGTGCTTGTATAAATAAATAAAAATAAATCTTTAAAAAAAAAATTCTTTAAAAAAAAAAAGTATAAAATATACTGATCGTCCCAGTTTCTCTGAAACTTTAAGGAACTCCACAAAAATAAAAGCAAAAGAGCAAAGGTCTTTCAATAAACTGGAACTACTAACAAAATAGACTCTTAAAAAACTATTATTTTTGTGCCCTACATAAACATTAAAATATTTATGCCAGAGAGATTAGACTACCAAATTTAGAAGAATATGCAAAAAGAATTTCTGCACACTAGAGATAAAAACAATGAACAAAGGATTTCAACAATCAAATCATACAAGAAACATCAATGTAAATTAGCATGAAAAGACTTTAATAATAAGGAAGCCCAAAATACAAGGGAGCTATTCTACATGTCAGATTTCAAAAATTTATAAAATAGAAAAATATGGGGAAATGAATACTATCAAATTTTCTTAGAGGGCAATCTGGAAGTAATACCAAAATTTAAAATGAGAATGCCCTTTCAGCAATACTACTTTCAAAAATTTCTCCTAGAGAAATAGTAACTCAAGACATAAAGATTTATGTACAACCATGTTCACAAAATTATTACTTGTAAAACTCAAAAACTAGAAATATCTAAAATATCTAAATTGACTTATAATTTACAAAACACTCAGAACACTAAGAAAATTTACTCAGTTTTAAAAAGAATCATATAGGCATTGAATACAAACATGAAAAATGTTCATAATATGCTGCAGCATAAAATACAAAAAGCAAACTGCAAAAGTATATGAATGATATGATCCCATTTGTTATTAAAGAAAATAATACAAGTGATAAGTCTTTTTTACCACTTAATTATGCATAGAAACTGATCTGGGAGAATAAACTATACAGCCAGGGCTAGAGATCAAGTTTTTACTTTACAATCTGAATTTCTTTGATAAGCAGACTTGTTTCTATAATTAAAAAAAATCCAATAAAGGCAGGGGAGGTCTCTCAAAACATTAAAATACACTGTATTGTTCGATTAAAATTCAATGCTATCTGAGTATACCTATTAGTAAGTTCAGTAGCTAACGTTTATTAAGTTGGCTAGTTACAACCATAATTATTTAATATAATGACTAAGCATTAAATGCAATACCATGCTTACCTCTTTTTGTTTCATTTTTAATTTTATTAATATTAGTTCTAGTTACATTGCTTTGTATATGCTCATGTTCAGGGGTACAGGTTCACACTTGGCAAATGCATACTCTTACAAGGTATCCTCCACCAACGCACCAAAAATCTTCCACCTTAGTCCACTGAGTCTCCTCCCCTCTGCCTGCTTACCTTTTTAGGTGATAAATTTTGTGTGTATACTGCCCCTTTTCTCCATCCTTTTCATAAGGTTCATTCTTCAAGACTTCAATTCCTTCTCCACCACCAGTTTCATTCTTACTAGCTTCTGCAACAGAGTAAAGCTGCCCAACCTGATACTGAAATTTCAAAGAGTACAGAATTTGACTAAGTCAGGTGTGACTGCAAAAACTTTCAGTGTCAAAACTTTACTATAGAGAACACAGAAAAACATATCCAAACCATTCAGCACATATGTTCTATATGAAAATGACTCAAAGTAGAAATTAATACACTAAGAAAGACAAACACTATCACACAGCTATAAGAAACTAATATTTTACAAGATTTCTATATTAAGAAAATAGCTATTTACACATACTGGGGGACTTCAATAAGCACTATCCACTTATCAAGAAAACTTACTGATCCTGGCTTCAACTTTTTGAATAATAAATGTGTATTTGCATTTTTTCCCCAAAGCATTTCCATATCTATTATAGCTCACATATTTCACAAAATTCTGAGGAAGGCATGGCAGGAATATAATTGTCACTTTGCCAATTAAGAAAGTTGAACAACCAGAATAGTGTTTTCAATACTAAAGAGAAAAGATATAAAATGTAGTAAGAAAAGCCTGAAAATACAAAGAAACATTAAGTCCATATTTTAGTAGACTTGTGGGGTCTTCTTTTCCTATAACTTATGTATGACATCACCAATTTGGCCCTTGCCACCTAAACAGAAAACGTATCGGGTATTCAGGATTGGAATCGTTAATTTTGAAGTTCTCCAGTAAACAGACATTGTTCTTAAAATATCACAAACAAGTGCTACTATGAAAGGCAAGAAATTGGGGACAGTGGCTTCTATCTCATTTTAAAGTAAACCAGAATTCTCAATGATCTATACCAATAACTTGTGAGTGGGCAGTATTGTTCCGTGCCAATCTGGAGTCACTGTTTCAACAAATAGTAAACAGCGAAGTTCTTGGATTCTGATTTGTTTCTTTGACTCAACCAAACACTACCTCCAATCAATCTCTTCAAATTTGGCTAAATTTCTTCCTCCCAAAAAAAAAACAGCTTGAGGAAATGATTTTTCTCTCAAAACTACAAAGCTCTATCTTTAATAATTCTATCATTAATAATTCAAAACTAACATCTTATTTGTGGCACAAAAAATAAAGGAAAGTGTAAGCTTACTAAGTATTCCTATCTAAAAGTATGATGCTATCTTGTACATTAAACATAAACACACTCTTACACGTGTGCATTCCCTCTCTCACATTCATTCACACACACACACACACACATCCCCAGAAGGATTTAGAAAGTTAAGAACAAATACACCTCTTAAGTACACCAAAGCAAGATTCTGTGGCGAACTACTGTATTTCTTCTTCTGGTTTTCAGGATATAACATACCAGGGTTACTTAAGTGATACTACAATCCTTAAATCCTTCAAGATGTAATTTTCTATAATGTTGTATTTTAAAAGACAGGATTAAAATTAAAATGTCTCTAAATCAAAAGGTAAAAGTGATCTTGGTCAACAACAAAGTAACAAAAACTTATACAGAAACAAACAGTATGCAAAAAAAATGAATGGGCTGGTATTTTGCAACATACAACTATACCTTTTCTTTTTTTTTTTATTTTTTTTTTTATTTTTATTTTTTTTTTAAATGTTTTTTTTTTTTTTAAATAGAGGCATGTTTTATTTATTTATTTATTTGTTTGTTTTGTTTATACATGCACTGGGTACAGTCAGAAGCGCGGGAGGGTGAGAGAATTCACCAGAGCCAGAGCAGGGAGCAGAGCAGGCAGAAGGACCGAAGTACACTGCTGAGGGGAGCAGCGGGCGGCAGGAGAGGTCTGCGCGCCATGTGGGACCCTCCTCTGGTGGCCGGGGAGCAGCCAAGGATCGAACCGGCGCCGCAGAGGCTGCAGGCAGCTTCGCAACCCAATGCTCAACCGCTGCGCCACCAGGGAGGCCCTACAACTATACCTTTTCTTATTGTTATTTTAAAGAATAACTTAAAGAGAACAGAAGGTATGTTTGTTGAGTATAATAAAAAGGTGAGATATTTGGGGTGACAATACCAAACAAATTCAAAGATTCCAACAAGATGATTCAACTATCTGAAACTAAAAGGAAAAATTTAACAAAAACAAGCAGTCAATTTCCACAATCAAGTTCAACCAATCAATTGTAGGAGTAAAGGAAAAGTAAAGAGGGGTGTCCTGCTTGTTTTAATACAGTGAAAAATGAAGATACTACTGAGATATATACAGCGGTGTTCAAATCTATATTAAACAGTGCCAAACATTATTTCAGTTCATGAATTTTCTTTTCTTTTTCTTTCTGTTTTCTGTCAGTTGTCACTTCTTAGGTTATCAATTTGCTTTGCCCCACTTCCAAGTTACTGGTTCTGACATACTGTCTAGGAAAAACAGAAAACTGAGTAAGGGCAAACTGTATGCAAGTTACAGAAGGACCCAGAGGACTTTTGGGATTTCACTACACATATCTTGATTTCTTAGAAGTCTTCTCTGCTTTTATCCTCATTGCTGGCTATAGTTACAACTTCAGGATGTGAATATTTTAAATAGATGATGTATTTCTATATTGTGCAGCTCAAGGGAGACAATAATCTCTTACAGTTAAGTCAAATGTCAGGAGTACTGTTTTCAGTTGAGAACAATACAACACATGGAATAGTGAGACCAGCTGGTGAAGAAGTCTAGAGGTCATTTTATATAAGGCCAAATGAACAAATGATAAATGTTGGGAATTTTTAACCTGTGACCTCAAGTAGAGAAGATGAAACAAAAGGGCTGGGGGAGGGGAACAGCCATCTGAAAATCTGAAGAGTTACCATATGCAAGACAGAACAAGCTTATTTCCTCTCACTCAAGTGGAAAAAATGTAAACAATCATCAAACATTATAGGAAAGTGAATTTTGGTTTAAAGACAAAATTTAAAATATTCCATAGTAAAACAGAAGACCTGTCTCTAAGGAGTAAGTTACTAATCTTTAAGTATTTAAGTTGAGGCTGGAAACGCATGTCTCTGGGATATTAGATCCTTCTAAAAGAAGGAATTGTGATAGAAATTAATTTACAATTAATTACAACACTTCATAATTTATTTTGTCACATAAACTGGAAAGTATATCAAATGTATGACAGAGAAAATACAAAATTATCAAAATAAACTACATCAATACAATAATGCAGAAGCAAGCAAGACTTACCTCCTGGACAGAACATGGCAAAACCACACGACTAAAAAAACAAAAAGAAAAAGAATATAGTTACATATGAAATAGTTGGCTTCAAAACACTGAACTCTAAATTTAATAGAGCTTTTACTTTAAATCTGATGATACCACAGCATTTGAATGTTATTTATAAAAGAGGGTCTTTACATGTCTACAGCTCTAAATAAGGACTCTAAACTGGGAACCATTCCTGGCTTTCAATTTAACTCTTCATAGTATGAAAACTACAGAGATTCTTGTGAGGCATAAAGAACAAGAGAGAACTAGTCACTGAAAATTGTAAGCTATAGAATGCAATATTTTTAGTCTGCTCTAGTTGCCCTCATGAAATTTTTAGTATGGTTTCGTTCTCCATCTATATACTGAGCATTTTGTTTTTAATGATACCTCTCACAGAATACACGTCCTGAATCTCAATAAATGTTTGCAAAAGCTGTTCCCCACTACCTACTTATTCCTCAATGGTATTAAGAGGAATAAACGGTCCCTTACAAGACTTAAAAAGAAAAAATTTTACCATGAAAAAGACCTTGAACCTTATAAATATAAGCCCTTCCCAAGTAGATTCAGCGTATGGTTGATGTACGTCTGATCTTATCCAAGAGAGTTTGTTATTGGAACCCATGTCGAGGACCAATCCTCCTGAAGATAAATTCCAAAGTAAGACTATCATAATGAGTTATAGGAGAAGGGAATTCTTTTTACTAATTTCTACCATTAATTCTGAAAATCAAGGCATCCTGAGTATCAGTTGCCTCAAGATGCTCGCCAACATAGCAACCCTTTTTTTGATTTGGTCCCTCTCACACTTTTCCCTACTAACCTTTAAACTATCTCAACAGAATCATTTACAATTTTATTTTAACTCTATATAAGAAAAAAATCTCAAGGCATTCACCTCTATTTTCATTTTACAGAAAATTTACAATAGTTTTCCTCATTCTACCTTCTCTTCAACCTCATTTCCCACCCACTACTCTCTCCTCCTCAAATATCTATGATTGAACACTCACATCACCTTAATCTCCAACATGCATAAAGTGTGTCTCCTGTTAAATTAAACTTTTGGTAGTGATCATAATATATACAGATGTGGAAGTATAATGCTATACATCTGAAATGTATATAATGTTATAAACTAATATTACTGCAATAAAAATTTTAAGAAACAAAACATGTCTGTTAGATTCCTCTTCCTTGGCTCTCAAAGCTACAATGGTCACTAATTTCTATTCTTATCAAGAATAAACTTGTTACATAAAGTCCTTCCCTACCTAATCACCTTAGTTGCCTCTTCAAACTACACACTAACTTGCTCACCATCTCAGAAACAGATAATTAATGGGGGGGGGGGTTTAAGATTTACAAAGGCCAGAACCAAGATGATGCACTACAGAGGGAATGAAAAGGAGTGCAGAGGAAAGTTAAACACCTCCCCAAAGTTTCACAAAACCGAAAAAAAATCAATGCTGAGTAATTTGAACAACTACTCACTAGCAAGAAGATCCTATTTTTATATAACACTTTCAAGGAATTCATTTCACAAAATGAAAGTGACAGATTAATACATTATGAATGAATGAGTCAAGTAGTTTCTTCAATTTGCTTAATAAAACAAAAAGAAGGACTAGGCAGGCTTTCATTTTCTGTTATTATTCTTAAAGTCATATTTAACCATTTAGAACACTTTGAAAAATATCTGAAAATTCTCATGAAAATAATTTTCCACATGGAACTACCAAATAATTCTTTAAAACCAGGACTTCACACTAATAACAACTTCATTTATGGCTTAAGTAAAACTTGAAAGGAACTCTCCACCCTGTAAAGTAATTTTTAACCTCTTAGTTCATGTCAAAAATAGATGGTATTTTTTTAAAAACAGAAACATTCCTGAAAATATTTTAGAGTTTACCAACATCATAGAGGAATAATCTATTCACTGCTCCTGACCAAAAACCATTTAGAAAGTTCACTGGACAGTAGGAGGAATCCTCCCCCCACCCCCCCATTCAATTAACACTGAGTACTTGCAATGTGTTAGACTAATGCTGTACTGGAATACTTAATTAAAAAAAAAAAAAACACAACAGCCTCAGCCTCACAAAGTCTAGGAGGGAGGGGAAAAAACCGTCTGAAAGAGACATATGAGTGAACATCAAGAACTGTACTTACAACTCTTGAGGAAAAAAATTATACTTAGGGCACATTTCAACATTTGTTTCCGATGTATTTACATTTTTACAATGAAAGGCAATGGCTTGCACAAAACACAGTGTGCAAATTTCCAGTGGGAATTGCTTTCCATGAGTTAGCTTGGTGTTGCTGACATAAAGTCCAGGGGCTCTACTGATTTCCTCCCTTATGATGGAGGAAATAACTCTGATAAAAGAAAAATGGTTATATCTAAGATCTAAAATCAGTTCTGTGCCTCACTGGCTATGTGATGTGGGCCAAGTCAATTTCCTTCTGTCTTATTTCCTCCATTTGTCTTAATATCTGCCACAGACCTATATTACAAAGATGTCAGAATAATAAAGAAGCTAACACTTGTGTGTGTTGTATAAACAACTTGGATGATAAGTTCTATATAAATCCAAAGTGCAATACTATATTCTCTAGCTGAAAAATTTCATTCTAAAACAGAAGTGTCTTTTCCCAGGATCTGTCACTGACTAGTTATAATTTTTCATTAATTCATGTAACTATTTATTGAGCATTTACTACATGCCAGGGACTACTGTCTGAGCTGGGGATATAAGAATGAGCAAAATATACAAATTTACTAGGAATACACCTAGTAAAACAGGGGGAAATTTTTGTTGCAAGATTGATGGTGGAAATTGCTATGATAACAACAAAGCAGGAAAAGCAAGGACCAAATGGCTGGGATTGCAATTAGATCTTCAGAAAGGGATTCCCTAAGGTGATATTTAAGAGCTGAAGTTTAGTGAGCTAGGCAAAGGGCATAGAGAACAGCAAGCAGAAAGTCCCTGAATGGAGCTTATTCCTGGAATAGTAGAATTTTGTGGGCCTGGAACGGGTGAGGGAGGATTGTAAATAAAACCAGAGCACAGAAGAAAAAGCATAAGATCTCCTAAGCTATCATAAAGATTCTAACTTTTAGTCTCACGACATAGGGAGCCTATAAAGGATTTTAAGAGGAGATATTTTCAAAGGAAGTTTGACAACCAACACTAAAAATAAGGTGTCCGTAGTTAATTTGAGACCACAATTTTAATAAGGAGCATTTGGAAAAGCATGGGTCATATCCGAAATCTCTAGGTGCCTAAGGGATGCCGATGACAAGATCCAGCTGTGACAACTGAACACTTACTACCAACCAGATTTCCCCTGGTATTCACAACCCTTGTCTGTGGGAAATGCCTTAACTCTTCAACAAAATCACTTCACCATTTTGATGCATCTGGAAACCCTTCTATTTTGACCAACTGTTAACTCTTCATTTCAACCTCGTGAAGCAGGTGGAACAGAGTGTCACCCTATCTCAAAGACGTGGAAACTGAGGCTCAGAGCAGAGAGTGAAGGCCCTCCAGTCCAGTCGACCGGACCGACCAGACTCCGGACTCCCGCGTGAAGTTCAGGGCGCCAACATCCCACCTCGGGTCCCAACCTACACTGCAATCCCATCTCTTGCGAGCCACAGAAGGGCTCCACCCCAGAAGACAAATCAGTCAGACCCTCCGCGTCTACCCCACGCTCCGGCTACCGCAGAGCCGACCGGCAGGTCTAGTGCGCCCAGATTCAGACTGGGGGTGGGGGGCTGGGGAGAAGGCGGGTCCCAGCGGAAACTCCTGGCCGCGCCTTCCAGAGCCACGCGCTCCAGCCAGGGACTGAGCTGCCTTCGTCCCAGGGGAGGATCGCGGAGTGTCTACCGCACCATCTCGGCCCGTCTGGGGGCGCGCAAAGAAGGGGCCTGGAGTGGGCCGGGGGCGCGCGCCTGGGGGAGGAGGCGCGCGAAGGCAGCGGCCGTGCCGAGGTTCTAGCCTTCTTAGAAATATTCCGCCGTTTCTCAATCAATGACTTTCCCACCACCGCAGTCCCGGGGACGCGCTCGTGCCCGCCGATCCACTCACAATTCTTTAATCAGCACCATCTTCCCGGAACCCCTCACAGCTGCCGCCGCTAACACCGCCGCCGCTACCGCCACTCAAGGCGCCTGCGCGGCACCGCCTCCCTGCCCCCTGAGCCGCCGGGGCGCATGCGCGTCCACGCCCTTCCGCCGCGACCCGTCGCGTCAGCGCGCGCGAGGGGCTGGCTCCGCCGAGTCGCGCGCCCCACCCTGGCCGCGCGAGGCCTTACTGCGGCTGCGCCGCCGGCTTGCGCGCATGCGGCTTCCCCTGCGCCTGCGCGAGTTGAGCGAGCGTTGTTCGCTTGTCTCCTGCCAATGGCTCCTCCCTCCACCCGAGTTCCCTCGGGATGTCCCTGCAGCCTAGGCTTCCCGGTGAGTTTTTCAGTTGGTTCCCTGGAAGTCGTTTTCTGGTGACGGATATTAAATTTTCTCTCACTCCGGAGGGAGGAGGTCCTTGTTGGCCCTCACCTCACGCCCGAACGCCGGCGACGCCAAGTTGTGTTCATCCCGGTGGCCCCGTCAGATTTCTTAGGAAGAGGCTCACCTGGTCCACGGCTCACGTGTAAGGTCCAGAAGTCCACAGCTCAGGGCTCGTGAGTGTAGCCGCCTGACTGTTACTCACCTTACCATGTCAACAGCTGTAGTCACACAAGTTGCCAACGCCTGAAGCCACCCCTGCCCTAGAACCCAGAATCCCACAGTTGCTGTTGGCGCCACAGGAGGAGCAGCTGACACCCGGACGCAGTAGTCCAGGGGGGAAGGAGCGAACTTGTTGTGGGGAAAAGTTAATTACAGTAGATGCCCCCACTAACCTGAGGCACAGACACCCTGGTTCCAACCTGAAAACCAAAAGGTGGACCTCAGTAGTAACCCAGGGATGACTCCATAGTTATGTGTCACGTACAACTCTAAGCACAGAGAATACAGCTGGAGGTAAAAGTCACAGTTCCTGTTTGTAATGGCAGGAAGGACCACAGTGCAGGTTTTCTAATATCCAGCAGACCGGGTAAAGGAGGAATCGGAGTCCTCAGTGGCTTTTGCAGGTTTTTATTTAGATTACCAGCTACACGGCAGGCAGGGGTGCTGGGGGGCCGGTAGGCTGGCAGGCCTCCCGGCCCCCAACAGGTCTACACTCTGGGCTCTCCAGCCTTCTCTCTGCTTCTGCTGCTACTGCTTCTCTTCTCTGCTTCCCTGCTTCTACTGGCGTCCCCGTGACGCCGCCCTTAAAAGTTCAGCCTCAGCCCAAGTGAATCCCATCTACCTATGACCAGACCCTACTCCAGGTGTCCGCCATCAGGCATTGCGTTCAGGACCGCAAGGATCCATCATCTATCCTGATGGCAGGAGGGCAGAAAAGCCTGACATTTTTCCTTACCTTACACTGTTCGCACGTGGAAATGTGAGGGAATTTGGCACAGTGGCAAGTGCTGTGCTGTAAATAAAATGAAAAGTAGGAGGGAGACCCAGTAGTCAAGAGTAAGACTCTGAGGAGGCCAGATTTGAAAGGAACGTTATAAATAACTCAACCTGTGAAGAAATGGGAAGGGCGTTCCAGTTAGAGGAAAACATAGCCTACGGCTTGAATAAGCTTAGAGTATTTGAGCAACAGGTAGTGGGCAGGTGTGGCTAGAACTTCTTAAATGAGGAGGAAGAATAGGGTGAAATGAAACAGATCACTAGGCCTCAATAGAGTGAGTTGTAAGAAGCATGGGAAGCTGTTGAAAGGCAATTGAATAAAAATATGAAAACGCTGCTATATAAATCTATATGGTAAACCTGACACTGTAGTACAAGCAGTTTGGACTGCCTCCCAAAAAAGTAGAATGAAAGAGTAGCCAAAAAAGCTAGAGACTTCTTCCTCAGGCAGTCCCTGAATTCATTGTGTTTCTGTTATATGTGAAGCTCTGTAACGGGAAGGATTCAAGGAAACCCATGCTCTTCATTTAAAGGATCTTAAACGCTGGGATTATGTTGGAAATATATGCCAGGTTCTGTGCTGGGTAATGGAAAAGCTTCATTGCATTTCACTCTTAGAGCAACATTTTGAGGTAGGTATTTTAGCATGGTTTAGAAAGGGCGGAAAATGAAGTTCAGAGAACTGCTAAGTGACTTGTGCAAAAATCACTCAACTTGTTTACAAAACCAGTTTTCAAATCCAGGCTTTAAAAACCTCAAACATCTGATCTTTTCAGTACACTTTTTTCTAGCTAGGAGCAAAAAGTTGAGGCATGCATACAAACTTTAAAGAACTGTTTTCCATTATGGGGAAAATGGGTTATGACCAAAATCTATAAGATATTTAGAGAAACTACAGAGTTGAGTGCTGCGCCTCTTTTTCTTCTCAAATTTCAGTCATTTGCCAATCATTTACATAATTAAATTCTGGGGGTACAACTTCACATCTCCTTATGTGCACATTTCGTTCACCTTCCAACAAAGCTCTACTGCCAAATGCGCTATCCTAGTCATTCCTCTGTACCCTTCCCCCTATCCCTCATCCCTTCTGGTAATCCCTATATTTTTCACAGAAGCTATGAGTTGTTTTTGCGTGTGTTTGCCAGTTTGTTTTGTCTTCTTTGGGGTATTTATGTTCTGCAAGTGAGTGGAACCATGCGGGTAACTGTCTTTCATATTCTGGCTTATTTCACTTAGCCTAATTACCTCAAATTGCATCCATTTTGACCAAAAGACACTATTTCATCTTTTTAAATAGTTGAGTAGTATTCCATTGAGTATATGCATCACAATTTCTCTATCCCATCATCTGTTGTTGGGCATTTAGGTTGTTCCATATCTTGGCTATTGTGAGTAACACTGCTATGAACTTAAGCGTGCATGAATCTTTTTTGTATTAGTGTTTTCATATTTTTTGGTTAAATACCTAGAAATGGCATTGCTGAATCATATAGCACTTTCATTTTTAGTTTTTTGAGGTGTCTCCATACTATTTTCCATAGAGACTGCACCTATTGATATTCCTGCCAACAGTGAATGAGTATTCTCTTTATCTCCACATCCTCATCATTATGTTTCTAGTCTTTCTGATATAGGCCATTCTCACAGAGGTAAAGTGATAGTTCATTGTGGTTTTGATTTGCATCTACCTTATAATACATGATGTTGAGCTTTTTTCATGTGCTGGTGGACACTTTAGAGAAGTGTCTAGGTCTTTTGCCTGTTTTCGGATGGGATTGGTGATGGTTTTGTTGTTGAGTTGTCAGAATTCTTTATATTACATTTTGAAAATTAACCCCTTGTCAGATGTATGATGTGAGTTGCTAGATTGTGGGTTGCCCTTTTGGTTTGGTAATGGTTTTTCTCATGGTACAAAAGCTTTTAAGTTTGATGTAATCTTGTTTGTTTTTGTTTCCTTAGCCATTGAAGTATCCAAATGCATCTCTGTAGTTGATATCCAAGAGAGTGGCCCCTGTGTTTCCATTTAGGTAGTTTTGGTTTCAGGTTTTATATTCAAATCTTAAATTAATTTTGAATTAATTCTTGTGTATGGATTTAAATGATGTAGTTTCACATTTTTGCATATGGCTGTCCAAGTTTCCCAATACCATTTGTTGAAGAGACTTTCTCCATTTTATGTTCATGGCACCTTTGTCAATGATTAAGTGTCCATATTTGATGGGTTTATTTTTAGACTTTCTATTATATTTGTCTGTGTTTCTGTTCCAGCACCATACTATCTCGATTACTATTGCTTTATAGTGTAGATTGAAGTCAGGGGGTATGATAGCCATTTCTCTTTACTCTCAGGATTGCTTTGGCTGTCCAGGGTCTTTTAGTAAAATTTACATTCAAATTTTATAATTTGAATTTCCTTGAAAAATGTCATTGGGACAATGACATTGCATTCAATTTGTAAATTGCTTTAAGTAATATGACCATTTAACAATGCTTGTTCTTATAATCCATGAGCATAGACTCTCTTTCCATTTCTGTATGCCTCATGTCTTTTGACAGTGTCTTACAGTTCTCAGTGTACAAGTCATTCACTTCCTTTGTTAAGTTTACTGCCAGGGCCTGAACCCAAGATGGCTGTGCTCTTGTTGAGATCTATTGAGATCATTGAAATCATTGATATCATTGCTTCTGTGCCTGTTGTATTTCTATTGTGCTTCTCCTTTGAGAACCATAGCCAAAGAAAAGATGGAGAGGTTTGGAATAAGAACACTGGTTCTGAAACCGAAGATCCTTCCTCGGGGTTTCAGTGCTTGGCCCCAGAGCAGTGCTTGCAGGCAGCGCAAGCAGCAATGACTGGTGGGCATTTCACAGATCACTACCAGTAGCTCCACTGGGGCTCAGGCTGCTGGCAGAAGCCAGCAGTTGTTCCCTTAGCACATCACCCCAGAGCATGCAGCCCTTGAGTCCCCCTTACAGGAGCAGCTCCAATGCTGTGTCTCCCTCCAGCTGCAGACAGTAGAAAGACCCGTGGGTTTGGTGCCTGGATTGTGGAATGGACTGATCAGGTGTGAGCTATGAGATGACTGGCAAATGTTCCAATCAGACATAGGATTGAAACCAATCCAATCACATTGGTAGGTAGGGGAACGAAGAAAGGAGATAAATAAAGCAGGGCAGAAGCCAGCTCAGAGGACCTGCTCTCTGGTTGCATTCCTGCTTGGCTGCACTTCTGCACTCTGAGACTTGCTCAGACAGGACTCACTTGGGATACTTTGTACAGAATACTTGCTCACTTGTACTACTCTCAGAAGCATCCAGCAGCTGACCTCCAAGGGAAGAAGAGAAGCTGAAAAACTTTACAGAAGCCTGCCTCTGACATTGCCTGAAAGGAGCACCAAGCCTCGGGGCCTGGTGTCTCAAAGAGCTGTTTGTTGTTGGTGTGGGCCAATAACTTAAAAAGCTATAATGCTAATGATTGGGTGACTGGCACTAGCTGCCAGTGCTGCCCAGCACTATTGATGGGTGGCTAGCATTCTGTGTCCCAGTCATCTTTTGGAAGCTGCTGATTGTCCAGCATCACTTTGTGGCGGTGCTGCCTCCGTTGTTTGGTGCAGTGTCTGGTCCTGTGCATCCCAACCTTCAGACTGTTACTGTGGGCTGCTGCTTTGACACCATTTCAGCAATCCCACCTGTGAGCACCTCCAGCTGCAGCTTGCCTGCTGCCACGAACTTCATGTCCTCGTTGATGGGACAAAGCCATCTGGAATGAGCGGCTTTTCGTTTAGGACTTTTGGATACTGTGGACACTATCTGGGGTGAGATGGCCTTGGAGACTCTTTGTTTTCCCCATTTGTTAAATAAACCCATCGTTGTTGTTCCCTGAGCCTGAGTAGTCTTGCAGTTGTGCACATGGGTGAAGCCAGTAGTTGTCTTGTTTCTGATGTTAGGAGAAATGCATTGTTTTTCACCATTGAGTGTGATGTTTGCTGTAAAGATGTTATTTCACTCTCTTCTAGCCTTGAGAGTTTGTGTTGAAAAATCATTGAAGGGCCTCCCTGGTGGCGCAGCAGTTGAGCGCTGGGCTGGAAGCTGTCCGCAGCCTCTGCAGCGCCGGTTCTATCCCTGGCTGCCGCGAGGGTCCCACGTGGTGCGCAGACCTCTCCTGCCGCGCCCGCTGCTCCCCTTGGCGGTGTGCTTCCATCCTTCTGCCTGTTCTGCTCCCCGCTCTGGCTCTGGTGAATTCTCTCACCCTCCCACGCTTCTGACTGTGCCCAGGGCTTGTGTGGATAAATTAATTAATTAAAAAAAGAGAAAAATCATTGAAAAGGCAATCAAGGTGTCCTTATGTGTAACATGCTCTTTTTCCCTAGTAGCCTTTATTAATTATTCTTTAGCATTCATTTTTGGTACTCTAACAATAATGCATTTTGGTGTTTATTGTTTTGCATTTAGGAATTTGGGTGTTCTTTTGGCTTCCTGGGCATTCATGTTTATTTCTTTCCTTAGGTTTGTGAAGTTCTCAGCTGTTATTCCTTTGAATAGGTTCTCTGCTCTCTTCTCTCTTCACCTTTTGGGATATCCATTATCCTAATATGTCATCTTCTGATGGAGACTGATATTTCTTGTAGGGTTCCTTCATTTCCCTAAGTTTTTATTTGTCTCTTCTCACATTTGAGTCCTTTGGACACTTGTATCTTTAATTCCCCAAATTCTTTCCCTCTTCTGCCAGCTTAAATCCACTCTATATGCTTTCCCTGTTTGTTCTCTCTCTCTCTCTCTCTCTCTCTCTCTCTCTCTCTCTCTCTCACACACACACACACACACACACACACACACACACACGTGTGTGTGTGTGTGTGTGTATTTAAGTAACCCCAGTCTCTTTAATAAAGAGCCCTTTCTGTTCCTGGATTTTAACTGAATTTATTTTTCTATGTTTGATTGAACTTCTGGTACGTCATTAAGTTTCCTCATGGTTGTTATTCTAAAATATTTTTCTGTTAGGTGCTCGAGTTTTATATCCTTTTTATATGTTTCTGGACTTCTTTCAGCTTTTCCATCGTGTGTTCACATGCTCCTTGTTTCCTAGACTTGTGTAGTGCCTCATTTGATTCTATTGGTGTGCTGTGACTTTTTCTTTAACTTGGTAGCTAATGCAGGAGGAGATACTGGAGTTCAAGGACTTGGTCTCTGTCTTAATGGATAGGAAACCTGTTCCAGGCAGAAGAGTTTTATGTTCCCTGTTTCACTGTTGGGTCTGGAGCAAGCACTGATTGCTGCTACCCAGAGCCCAAGGTCTAGGGCCCTCTCCTGCTTCCTTCTCCTCTCTGTGGTATTGCAATAGGTCTCTCTGTTCTATCAGCAGAAACAGAGGATGAAACTCTACCACCCATGCTGCCAACAGCCAGATTCTTTGCAACTGAACCAAAGGTCCCAGCACCCATCTATGTGTAAGTCTGTACTCTCCTTCATGGATTCCCTGCACATGATCTGTGCGCCACACTAGCTGCCTGATGCCCAGCTTGTTTGGTTGACTAGAATGGCCATCCCTGTGAACCACCAGCCTCCAGGAAATATCTGCAGGTAAGTCATGGTGAATTGGTGAATTTTCCTCTGAGTAATACGTATTTTTATATTTCTTTTATATATTTATATTTTTCTAGTTGTACTTAGGGGAAAGGATTATCCAAACCTCACTACTTCACTATGTTGTGAGTGGAGTCTTCTTTACCTTCTTTGAAGTCCCAAGAGGGTAATGGTAATTGTCAAACTTGTATGTAGTCATTTTATTCTGTAGTTTCTTGCAAAAATTATGCAGGCTGAAAATATAAATTTCTTTTAAAATGTTGTGGATATATTTGTGGTTGATATGCTTTATCAGTCATTAAGAAAAGATGTTGCAGAGCATTTCTGTTACTTCTAACAAGTGTTGTTGTCTGCGCAGTTGCTGTTCCTAGTTAGTACTCAGATATTTATAAAATAATTGAAGAGACAGTGTGCTGGATGGGCATAACCCTGAACAGTATGAACATCGTCTCCTTTTTGCAGCTAAAGATTTATATTAAAACACCCCAGGTGGAGTAAGTAATGAGTTTAGATATATTTATTGAGGGAAAGAAAACACTAATTTGAAATTAGCTAAATTTATAGAAAACATGAAATTGATGTAACTCAACAAAACAATTATATATTACATATGCCTAAGAGATAAAAATAGCAGAATGATGGAATATTAAAGAGGACTAGAGAGTAGGAAAGATATGAACCATCACCCCCAAAATGAGAAAGATGGACATATGAAAAAACAGTTACATTTGAAAAAATGGGTTGTGTGGCATTTTCATGTTTTAAAACTAATGTTTTATCTTTTGCATTTTTGCAAATATGGACAAAAGATGGGATATAGCTAATTAGTTAATTGTCCTTGGTGGTAGAAAAGATCCAACCTCTTTGTTAATGTCTCTTGTTCTAACTTAAAATTCTCAACAAATATAACCTTTACACACAAGATGTACCACCAAATTTAATTAATACAAGTCTCACATAACCACAAAGAACTCTTGTAGTAAGAGTGTTGGTAAGTTTTAATGAGACAGCAAAAGATCCCTGAACATGAAAAATGTTTGTAATGCTTATGTTCTGCACTAATTGATACAGTGCAACTCTGATCAAAGAAATTTGAACTGTTCTCCAAATATAATTGAATTTGGCCCTGTTTTAAAAAAGATTTATGTATTTATGCATGCAAGAACTGGGTACAGGCCAGAGGTGCTGGGGACGAGAGGATTTACCAGAGACAGAGTGGGAAACAGAACAGGCAGATTGACTGAAATACACTGCTGAGGGGAGCAGCGGGCGAGTCAGGAGAGGTCTGCTGCGCCATGTGGGTTGCTCCCTGGCCGGGGATCGAACTCACACTGCAAAAGCCGTGGACAGATTCACAGCGCTGCGCTCAACCCCCTGTACCACTAGGGAGGCCCTTTTTTTGGTTTCTAAAAGCAGACATTCTTAGCCTGGGATCCAAAGACTTTTGGTGGGGCCTCCCAGGGAATTTGTGAACCACTGAAATTATGTACACTTTGCTTACTCTTTATCTTGCCATCCTATTTTCTCCATTCCAGAGTTATCTTGATTGACACTATGTCTGTGAAAGCTGGAAATATTCTCAATATTTTGTCAAACCTTAGGACATAGATCATAATATTATACCATTGTGGGAGAGATAAGTTCGACTTTAGTAGAAAGTCCTTGACCTGAATCCTGACTCTACCACTTGCTGGCTGTGTGCTATGTACCTTGAGTAAATTAATCTCTCAGGGACAAAATTTATTCTTCTGTAAGAGAGAACTAATATCTACAACATAGGTTCATTGTGAGGAATAAAATATATGAACTATATAAAAGACTTACCTTGCATACCACCTCATATGTAATAGGTGTTCAGTGAATGGGAATCATTGAAAACTTAGTTTTTGGAGGGCAGAATGATAATTTAATATAAAGGTTTTTTGCCCTTCATCTTCCTTCATCCCTACGGGTATTTACTATTATTAGTCACTGTTCACCCCAATGTGTAAATAAGAATGCATATATGAATATCTTTACCCTTTTTTTAAATCTTTTTTTTAAAGATTTATTTATTTTTATACAAGAGCTGGGGTACAGGCCAGAGGCATGGGAGGGTGAGAGGATTCACCAGAGACAGCAAGGAGCAGAACAGGCAGATGACCAAAATACACTGCTGAGGGGAGCAATGGGTAAGACAGGAGAGGTGTGCTGTGCCATGTGGGTAGCTCCCTGGCCAGCTGGGAATCGAATCCACGCTGCAGTGGCTGCGGACAGCTTCACAGCACTGCGCTCAACCCGTTGCGCCACCGGGGAGGCCCCCTTTACCCTTTAATCTGAAGTGCATAATATAAATTTGTTTTTCTCTGTCATCACCAACATTTGGTAGTCAGAGTTTTTCATTTTGCTACTTTATTGGTTTTAAAATACTATTTCATATATTCATTTTGCATTTTCCTACAGGATGAGACTATTTTATGTTTAGTGGCCTTGTTTTTATCCTTTGGTAATTTTCCTATTTCTGTTTTTTATGGTAGATGATAACTATGTATTTAAATGCCATTTTGGATTTGAAACCCACTTTTTAATATTTTCTTATGTATTACTGTGTTGCTTTGTTTTTGACGGGGTCTCTTAAAACTCTGTAGCACTGACATTATGGGTCAAACAGTTCTTTGTTGTGGTGGCCATTCTGTGTATCATTTGGGTATTTAGCAGTTTCTCTGGCCCCTATTCACTAGATAGAGTCCTACCTACTAGTACCACCCCTCCATTCATCAAAAATGTCTCCAGTCATTTCCCAGTATCCCCTGGTGGGGGCAAACTAGTGATTGAGAACCACTAGTTTTTAGTGACTCTGTTATTATGTAGTGATACTGCAGTTATTTATCTTTAAGAAAACTTTATCCCTCTAACAGTTTGAGTTTTTATTATATGCCAGTTTCTAAGTGCTTTACATTACCTAATCCTAACCCATTTACTCATCCCTGTTTTGTGAAAGAGAAGTCTTGTTCATGTCTTTCAGTGTGAAGAAAGTGTTCATCATCTTTACTGAACTATAATTTACGTAATAAAATTAGCCATTTTAAGTGTATAGTTTGAGGAGTTTGTCAAATAGATGCTTCTGGTATTCCTTGCTGTAATCAAAATACATGACTTTCCATTGCTCTGAAAGGCTTCCTGTGCATCTTCCTTGTCAGTCCCCTACAGTCCTAGCCCCCAGCATGCACTAAACTGCTTTGTGGCACCATAAGTTAGACTTGCTTTCTCCCTAGTTTCATTGAATCATGTAGTATGTACCTTTTTTTGGTTTGGCATCTTTCATTCAACAGAATGTTCTTGAGATTCATTAGCATTGTTGTGCATAGCTTAGTTCTTTCTGTTGATGAGTGATGTTCTAGTGTATGGCTATATCAGATTTTTCTAAAATCTGTTTTTTTGATGTACTTATGAGTTTGTCCCAGTGTTTGACCATTGTAAATAAAAGCAGCTACTTGTATTTGTGCAGAAGTCTTTTTGTAGATAAGTGTTTTCATTTCTCTTGAGGTAATCTCTCTTACAATATTTCTAAGGGAAATATATTTCCCTTATAATATCTATTTCCCTTATAATGATAAGAGAAACTGCCAAACATTTGCAAAGTGGTTGCTTCATTTTACATTTCCGCCAATAGTGTATTTAAGAGGCCTGTTACTCCACATCACCATCAACACATTTTAGCCATCCTAGTGGATATGTTGTGGTATTGTACTGTGGTTTTATTTGTATTGCCTAGAAGACTATGATTGTGAGCATTTTTATGTGCTTATTGGTCATTTGTATATCTTCCTTTTTGAGGTGCATGTTCAAATTCATTTTTAATGAACTAGAGTGAAGGCAAGGAAACCAGTTACAGTGTTTTACACACATCTTTCATCTGCTTTTCTTTTTCTTTTATTTTAATTAATGTTATACTTTTATTTTCCTACATTGTTGTTCATTTTTGTATAATATTTAATTTCTCCCCTCAGGTGTAGTCTCTATAATTGTCCCAGCACCACAGCACATGTGAACCATCACCATAATCCCTTGTGGTTTTCCCTCCCGTGTTTTGACCTTTCTCTGTCCACCTCCACTGCTGTATGCCTCAGATCTGTAGTTTGCCAGCAAGTTTTCTTTTTCCTGATGTTCAGTTTCTTTATATTCCCCATCAGTGAGGCCAATCCAATATATTTTTTTTCCTTTCTGACTGACTTTGCTTAGCATAATCCCTTCCAGCTCTGTCCATTTTGCACAGTTGCATGAATTTATCTTTTTTGATCACTGAGTAGTATTATATTTGTACCACATCTTCTTGATCCATTTGTCTGTATTGGGGCATTTAGTTTGTTTCCATATCTTAGCTATTGTAAATAGTGCTGCAGTATACATGGGCATGCAGGTTTCTCTTTGAATTAGTGTTTTTGTATTCTTAGGGTATATTCCCAGGAGTAGTATCACTGAATCATACGGCAAATCCATTTTTAATGTATTTAGGATCCTCCAGATATCTTTCCATAGAGGCTGGACCAGTTTACAGTCCCACCAGAAGTATAAGAGGGTTCCTTTTTCTCCACATCCTTGCCAGCATTTGTTGTCAGTTTTTTTAATACGGGCCATTCTCACCAGTGTGAAGTAGTCTCTCATTGTGGTTTTAATTTGCATTTCCCTGATTTTAAGCCTGTTGAACATTTTTTCATATACCTATTGGCCATTTGCATTTCCTCTTAGGAGAAGTGTCTTTTTAGGTCTTTTGCCCATTTTTTTGACAGGGTTGTTTTTGTTGAGTTTTGTGAGCTCTTTGTAGATCTTTGAAATCAGTTCCTGATAAGTTGTGTGTATGCAAATATTTTCTCCCAATTAGTAGGGTGTCTCTTCATTTTGATTATTGTCTCTTTTGCTGTACAGAAGTTTTTTAGTTTGAGTAGTCCCATTTAGCTTTTCCTTCATTTTCTTTGCTTCTGGAAATGAATCCCCAAAGATGTTTCTGAAGTGTATGC